TATATCAAATTAATATATTAATGTCTAGTTTTGGTAATTTGGAGATTTAATACTAATATAATCATAAAAAACCATCGATTTTGGTTAATATAATTTTGGTAAATAAAACATACTTAAGTGCCGAACTTAAGTATATTCTTGTTCATATCACATTCGAATGTATAAAAAAAGATTGTAACAACCACCACATTTGGTTACGGCGTAAACTTTATATAACCATTACTTTTGAATTTTTAAACCTGTCAACTTAAATTTAGTGTAAGAAAATAAAAAAAATAAAAATTAACAAATTGTTGCCCTGGCATTTGCGGTAGGGATGGTAAATGTTATTTTTATAATGTTTATTTCTTAGTCTATACATAGAATCGTTGCTTAGAGACTGCCCGGGTTACACGTACATTGTGTACACAGTAGCGTAGTAAAATATTTTTTGCCAATAGGCATATGTAACCCAGGTGCCTAATTTCTGTTTCTCTAGAACAATAACTTAAACAGAAAAATTTAAAAAAAAACTCTTTAAATATATCTTGAGGCTCCTAAAATCGCAGCCCTGGGCCTAGTGCTTCCAATACCGGTAGTACCGATACCGGAATACCGGTATTACCGGACATTTTTAAGTACCGAAATACCGGTACTGGTTTGGCTCAATACCGGTATTAAAAATATATGTAGAGGGCTTATGATATAGCAGGTGCTATCGCCCTCTTTACGTGAAACACTAAAGTAAATGAAATACATAAAACTTTCAACAACGCTTCCGGTAGTGAAAAGATAGCTAGATGAGAAAAGACGTGTTTAAATTGTCTAAAACAAGTATTCTACGTACTTTATACTTAATATCTAGTTGCCAGCTCATTTCCCACTAGGTTTGGTAGGAAATGAGCTAGCAACTAGCCAGCGAACAGCTAGCGTTTAAGACTTATAAAATACGTAGAATACTTGTTTTAGACGATTTAAACAAGTCTTTTGTCATCTAGCTATCTTTTTCTTACCGGAAGCGTTGTTTGATCGTGACTGGAAGTTTTAAGTATTCCATTTACTTTCGTGTTTTCATTAAATAATGAAGCACCAATTTAAAATTTTATCATTACGTCACTCGCTTTAATGTAGAACGCATGTTTGAATTTTGCACTAACGTAAATATGAAAAGTTTCGGTAATGTAGAAAGAAGGGCGTTTAAGTAACTGTGATCAACAGTTGTGCATTAGGCATGGGATTCAACTAGGTGTTCAAGATATTTTGTACAAAAAAATTGTCAATTTCTGCAAAAAAAACTTGAAAGTAATATGCAATAACGGAGAAAGTGACGAGGAAATACTGATGACACAAACATAACCAATAATGATGAAGACTTTTCCGGCGGGTTTCAAGTTGTAATGAGTGAAGAGAATAACTCTATTAACTTGATTAACGGCTGCAAATCATCAGTCAGTTGACTGATGATTTGCAGCCGTTAATCAAAAAGGTGCGCACCGTTGTGAAATTTTTATTTCGCCGTTCTCCGACAAAAAATGATCAAAATTCAAAAACGCACGTTAGAAAAATTTGATAAAGATATTCCACTAATACTTGGATCCAAAACTAGCTGGGTTAGCTTGCACACAGTACTCAAACGTTTTGTATAATTAAAAAAATGCATTCACGAGTCACTTTTTGCCCTTGAGTCCAAAGTTGAGGTAACTAATAATGAGTCCGATGCAATATTAGCTGTTAACTTATGTCTTGCGCCAGTAAAACTGGCTGTGGAAACATTGTGCCAAAATCATGCAACTCTGTTGTGTGCCGATACAACATTTTCATGATAGTTAACCTTTGAGAAATCGATTTAGCTGTAAAGTTATGTTGGTGTAACAATTTAATGAGCAACGTACTCTTTTTCCAGCATACAACATTTTTTGCACAAGGGACATCAACGTTACAAGAATTTGGATCTAGCTCTATCTTTTGAGCACCATAGCAAATTAGCCATTGTAAATACCATTACTCGACTGAAAGATCGGCTCAATCAGAAAGGGTCAGTAGTTTTGATATAAAATAAATAAGCTGATTGAATCAATAAAATTTTTACTATTAACTTGAGATTTTATTTAGATTATGATAAATTTAAAAATAAAGTTTAATACCGGTATTATACCGGTATTACCGGTATTGTAATTATTTAGTACCGATATACCGGTATTGAAAAATGGTATCGGTATTGGAAGCACTACCTGGGCCTAGTTGCTCGAGTGACCGTAAGGTTTGCTTCCTGACCTTGCTGTACCCAGACAGGAAGGATATAATGGTCCCGCACTAGTTCTCTATAGGCTTCCGCGCTGGACCGGCTTTGGCTGCTCTAAGGATTTTTCATGGATCAACCGTGGCTAGCCAGTGATGGCAAAACAGCGGCTAGCCCAAGAAGTTTAATAAACAGGAGACGCCGTAGTATATATTAAATATAAATCGCGATGAAACCAGTTTTGAAAGTCAGCCGCCATCGTGGTTAACCCAAAGCATTGATATGTTTTGCCCGGAGCTTTATATTTTTAAGAGAAAACTTAGATATAATATAAATATAAATAATTAAATAATTTGTCTGATTTTTCCGAGATTGTAATAAACTACAAAGAATTGTTTGCTAACTGGTTATCGAGTTCAGTTTATTCCAAAATATTGGAATTTATTCCAAAATATTGGAATAATTTATAATAAATAAATAATTTATTCCAAAATATTGGAATACTGAAGTAGACATTCAGATAGTAAACACGGTTTTAGAAATGCTATATTTTACACAGTTTGAACATTTTATGGAATAAAAAAATTGTTTTCATTAAAATTTAACAAAATTAAATGTAAATAAAAACAAAAATATTAATTATACATATTTATCTTTCAATCTTTTAATTGTTGTCTATGTATAAACACATATATTTATATATATATATATATATATATATATATATATATATATATATATATATATATATATATATATATATATATATATATATATATATATATATATATATATATATATATATATATATATATATATATATATATATATATATATATGAATATATATACATTTATGTGTATGTTTATACACACACACATATATGTATATATATATTTATATGCATATATATATATATATATATATTTGTATATATATACATATATATATATATATATATATATATATATATATATATATATATATATATATATATATATATATATATATATATATATATATATATATATATATACATACATATATGTGTGTGTTTATACACACACAGATATATGTATATATATTTATATGCATACATATATCTATATATATATATATATATATATATATATATATATATATATATATATATATATATATATATATATATATATATATATATATATATGTATATATATATATATATATATATATGTATATATATTATTTGATATAATAATAATGAAACTAAACTATAATATTGAAACAAGATTAAAATAGTTTTATGAAGATTCATACAGTTAAGCTAAAATTAATTTCTTTTGTTATCTTTTTGACTAGTAAAAATTACCTTTTATTAATATTTAGTATATAATAATTATCTTTTTGTGCAACTGTCGACTTAGTATAAAGTAACTGCTCTATATGGTCTTGGATAAATGAGAGTAAGACAAATAAATCAAAAGTTAGTAATAAAACTAGAAAGAAAATAAGTATGCTATTACTATGATGCTTCAAAAATGCCTGGTATGGCATCATACTGAACTCTCCCTCATGAGGACCTAGTTCTATCTATATCAACTTCTGTACTTAAAGCTGATTTATTACTTCTCCTTCTTCTTTGAACACAACTGCTTATTTATGAGGACCAGTAAAGTTTTCTCTACATAGAGCAGTTATCAACTTTTATCAAATCTTGATATTTGATTTTTGACGGAAATCTTTAAAAATATTGAATAATATAAAAATCATCATAGTAATAACTTATATACTCTGGTGATTTCGTTATTTTATTAGTCAATATTTTATAGAATATATTTTAATGATATATATCATTGCTTTGTGAAATTTCTTGCTTGGTATAGCTTAACGTACCTACAAAAAGTAATGCCATCGGCACAATCTCTTGCATCCATAGGCAAAACAAGTCATGTCAAATAATATCTTTTTATCAACTATATAACCTACACTAGAAAATCAATTTATAAATCAGAAAATTTATAGATATTTTAAAAATCACTAAATTTACAAAAGTAGACATAAAAAATCAATTTATAAATCATGTAAAGCTAAAAAAAAAATTGTTTAATAAATATGTATGCAGTTGTTAGTTGCTCTGTTCTTTTAATATATATATATATATACATATATATATATATATATATATATATATATATATATATATATATATATATATATATATATATATATATATATATATATATATATATATATATATATATATATATATATATATATATATATATATATATATATATATATATATTTCAGTATTCCGAATGTTATTCGAATAAACTAAAAAAGGCAATCAGTTGGCAAGCAATTCTTTATAAGATAGTATAAGCTGCCAAACATATATTGACGAAAAATTTAATCATTTGCTGCAATCTTTTAACTAGAATTTAATAAAGTTCCGTGAAATGTTTTGGGTCAACCAAGATGGCGGCCGTTTTAAAAACTGCCTTCAAAAAAGAAACGTGAAACCGTCTCCTGTTTATTAAACCGTTTCCTGGCAGAACAACGATTAACCATTTTTACACGGTACCATTGTGATTTTGTCTTTGTTAACTAACTGAAAATCCTATTTGAAGCTCTTGTATTTTCCTTGAAGACTACGTCTTCTTAATTATTCAAAATTGTTTTTAGCAGAATCAACTTTAATTTTTTGGTTAAAAATTAGCGTATTTTTCATTAGTTTAAGAACAATAAAATGTATGATTACTGACAATTTTAATTTTATGAATAAATTTAAAATACAGGCTTAAATTTCAAAATATATTTACGCGACTAAAAAAAATTATTATAAAATGATTTGATTCATAACCATTCTACAATCATGCTTTTCTGCAATTCATATCCAGACGTCAACATGATTCTTTATAAATTTCTGCTTCAACTTCTAACGTTATTTTCTTTTTTAGTGCTTGCGCATCCATTTCAACTTTAATAAAATTAAAAGAAACATAAGCACAACTTAATAATTTATTACATATATACTTATACAACATAGTTATTATGTTACAATAACAACTATTTTTATTATTGACGAAAATGTTCAATCCATTAACACCAAAACATAGTTACGTAACTTGAGTTAAGGATCTTTTTATAGCTTAAAGAACTAAAATGTAATCAATATCACATTAAAAATTTATAATTACAACCAAGTGCAAGATATTTACAAATATATTTATTAAAACATGTGGTACTTGGATCAGGGCCGTCCCGAGGGGGTGTCTAGCCCCCTACGAATTTTTTCGGTCGGCAAATGGGAACTGGAATCGGCAAAAATGGATCTATAATTGGCAGTGGGCAAATATCAGAAAACGAGGACCTTTTTTTTTTTTTTTTTTTAACGATAAAAAATTTTTTTTCGGCTTTAGTTGGCAAAAAGCAGACATGTCAACCCCCCTTACCTTTAAAATCTCTTCGGGACGGCCCTGACTTGGATTATTATGAACCAAAACTCCATTCCCAATTTTATGTCTTGAGGTTTGACATTTTATGATTGAATATTTAATTTACTTCGCAGCAGATTATAAATAAAGTATATATAACGCTGTGACAAATTAATTTATCATTTTGTTATAAATAGATGACTTAAAAATTTTGCCACAGTATGATTACAATTTAAAACATTAAAAAAAATTTAAAAAAGATCCTTTTAAAATATTTTAGATTGAACATTAACATTGTACATTATTAACATAAACATTATTTAAATAGAAACCTGAATATAATGATCTTCATTATTGGCAATATCCAGATGAAATCTGTATATCTAACTGCAACATAAACTTGTCAGCAAGGGAACAGAGAAGGATTTAATTTACTACCTGTGTCTGGTATATGGTGTTGAGGAGCACTAAAAATTTTAGATTTATGAACATTGAAAAAAAAATTCATCAAATTTGAATAAGACAATTGTGTAAATTTAGACATGTATGTATACATGTGTGTATGCGTAAGTATATTTATATGTTGGTATGTTTATATGTGAGTAAATAATTATATGTTTATTTCTGGGTAAATATTAATATATGTTTTATTAAAAAATGATTTTTTATTTAAAATCTATTTACGTGGTTCTCGATGAAAAGATCTTATGATCTTCTTGCAAGTATCCCTGTTCTTAATGTAAAGTAAACATATAAAATATAAATATATAACTAGTATCTGCGTTCTTATTGTCAATTCAACAAAATTTGTACTTCTTATTTTATGTATTTTATTCATTCTTTTATTGTAAAACTTATTTTGAATAAATAAAAAGAACAATAAAAAATAATAATAATTAAAATGCCTCTCAATCTTCCTAAATATATGTTAAACACAGAAACTAATATATTTATTTTATAAAACTCAGTAAATCATTAGTAATGGTAAAAATAAGGAAAAAAAAAACATTTTTTTCAGATTCTTTCAGATTTAGATGAACTTGAGATTTGGTATTTTTGTGTCAATATTATGTTTATTGCCATAGCTTCATTAACATTTGCTACATTCATGTGATGGCACATTATTCATCGCAAACAAACTCTGAAAATGAAACATCAATACTATTAAATCTAATAAATAAAATTATCTTTTAAAAGTTTTTTCATATAAAATAACATATAAGAAAAGACAACAAATCTATGAAATAGAGTTTTATTATCACAGTATCAAAGAGTTAGGAATAAGCTACATACTCAAAAAAAAATCAGCTCAATAGCATCATTATTGGTAATTCTTTGTAATTTTAAATAAAAGACTTTTAAATATGAAATTATAGAGAAAAAGTGACTTTGAAAGTTTGACATTAGGGTGAATCAAACACTTCTTTAAATATTTAGATAAAAGAAATATACATTAATACTTCCATCATTATTTAGACCTCGCCTTGAATATTGAACCTCAAGGAGTTCACGTATACAGAAACATGTTATTATGATTGAACAACTCCAACATAGAGCAATTCCTATTTATAATTTAAAAGATTGATCATGTAAAAACTCGCTGATAAAACTTTCTCTCCGCATTAAAATTAGGAGATCAAGAGGTGATGCGATACGATTATACAGGTTTATTAATGGCTTGGATGTATTAAATTGATTTAATGCTCCAATATTTATAGAAAATTATATTATAAAAGCGAGCAATAAATGATATATAAACAACAATAAAAAAAAAACGGTTAACATAATTTGTTCATAAATAGGATAGTCATCAAATGGAACCATTTAAAACAAAAAGTTGTGGATGGGAAAAACTTAAATATATATTTTAAACACTCTACAATAGATATAGACAAAACTGTGAAAAGCTGTTCAAGTCTGAAATCTACTTTTGTTAGACTATACACTAATAATGTGTATCATAACTTTGTTGGTTTATTTATATTAATTAATTGTATTTATAAGTAAACAAATTAGCAAATATATATAGAACAAACTATTGAATAATAATCAAACTGTTAGAAAAAATAAAGTTAACAACAAAATTTTCAAATTATTTTGCTATAAACACTTATATATCCATATTATGTATACAGGGGCTAATCTAGACCGTTTTCGACAGCGTCGACCGTATTTGGGCGCCGCCCAAATTAAAATTTGAGGACCTTTTTTTTTTTTTTTACGTTTTTTACTGCAAATATTGTTATTTTCGCGTAAATTTTCCGCAAAAATTTGCCAGAACAAGGGGGTAGCGCGGCTTAAACCATTTTCCTAGAATAGGTCCTAGTATAGTAACTTTTCCTATCTTGTACGCCTCATATGTTAATAATACTTAGGAATACATTTTTTGAGTTTAACAACTTTGCATAACACAATAACATTTTTATACTATATTTATTATAAGATGTTAGCTTTATTTTATTTCTAAAAAACTGTAAGAATATAAAAAATAAATGTGTTAATAGCACTCAAATTATTATTTTTTTAAAATGCTATTGTTATGACAACAAAAAGATAATAAAATAAGGCAAATTTGTTCAAATAATCTACATAATAATATACATATAATTTATATATTTCTTTTTATATTAAACCTACATTTCTATGAGTTTTTTTTTCAAATCGATATCTGTCATTCTTCAATTGTTGTTGTTTCCATAAATTAGGTTTTAAGTTTCTTTAACTAGTTTAACTTGGTGAAAAAAAATTAATTTAAATATTAAACCAATTTAATGAATAATGTTTAATGTAAATAATTACGTTTGAGATAAATAGACTAGGAAGCAATGCTGAAATAACATAAACATTATGTTATTTATAGTCTAACAACACATCCCATACGAAACCTTGTTTATTTAACAAAAGAATTAACATAATTAATTTATTTAGAAATTATTTAAAAAGCATCAATTCTCTTTTATAAAATATTAATTTTATAAATTTATCTAGAAATTAATATGTACATAAACTAGAATGTAAAAAAAAAAAAAAAATAGAATAGATAAATCTCACCTAAAAGTCTTTTTTTAAGCGATAAAATTCTTAGATATGTTTCTATGAAAGTGAAACAAACGAATTTCAAGGTGGATGCGATTATATGCGCTTTAAGCGCAAATGCTCTTGTTTATATCGATAATAATTTGACTTTACCACTGACCAGGCCAGTATCGGCCTAGTGTCTGTTGATTTCTTTTCGGCAAATCTTTTTTGGACCATTAATAGTTTTATTGTTGTTACCCAGCTCAGGCAATTTTATAAAGACTCGGCGAGGCCCTGTTACGGCATCCCAGGATTGGCAATCCAAGAACAGAACTTTATTGGTCCTTTAATGAATTCGCTGGCATAAGCTAGCCATTATCAGACCAGTATATCCTTAAATATTCCAGTGTCTGGGTAATTAGGTCACTGATACTACACGTAAATAAAGATATTTACATAAACAGTTTAATAAATAGTAAAGTTTTTCATACCCATATAAAATGCCGTAATTTTTTAAACAAGTTTGCTAGATTAGGACTTGCAGGGTTTAGGAATATTTTTGAGCAGGAGGGCATTTTTCTAATTAAAACATCGAAAAATAAACTTTACAAAAATAAAGCACCCTTATTAAAATTTTTGAGCTCCTAAATCTGCGTTATAGCCTATATGGTTATAGCCCCCATCATTTGGAACAACCCAGACAGCATACAACTCCGGGCTAGTACTCTGGCAAATCATCGCTCGCCGTTGCGACTATATTAGTAACGGGCCATTACTGGCGCGAGTCTGGCAAGCGATTCAAGGAATTTTTTATGTATTGCAGCGGCGTGCGACAAAATGCCAGAACTCTGGCGAATAGTCGTAAGCCACTACGATGGCATTTGCGGCCCGATTGCAGTGGATACAGAGTTTTGGCCAAACGTCGTTTTGCAATAATTGCCATTATTTAAATATTTTTTTCGCTATCCATGATAATACTATAAAAGCAAAAATAAACGTTTACAAGATATATTTTGTTATTACTACTAAATGTTTTGCTTTGTATAAATGTTTGTATAAATGTTTGGTTATAATACTTTGCTTTGTATAAATGTTATGCTGATATCATATCAGCATAACTTTTATGCAAAGGATATGCAAAAGATGCTTATTTGGCGGACTTGTAAACAACACACCCCTATGAAATACTAATAATCGTGACCAAAACTGTCCCAATTCTTACGGTCAATTAGTAAATATTTTGTTGTGTTAATCCGTAATGGTTAGTCAAAGCATTTACAATTAATTCTATTCATTACTTATAATCAATTGATATAATTACACTTTAATTAATTTAATTAATTTTACTAGGTCAGTAAAATATCCTTTTCGAAAAAACGTGTTTTAAAGGGGTGCACAAAATTCAGGACATAGTTAAAAGTTAACTAATAGTTTGGGTCTTTTTTGTTTTTTTTTTCGATTTCTATGGTATTTAACTAATGTTATATAGAATATCATAATATATTTGCCATGATTAATATATTTTTAAGCTATTTATAACAATGTGATATTTTTCATAACTAATATTACAAAATTGTGCAAATCGGGTTTGTTTGTATATTTAAAGTAAAAGGTCAAAACCAAAGCGCATTTTTTGTTTTATTTGTGACGTTGTACAGTGAACGTGTTTTAACACTCTGATTGACAACATCTTCACTAAATGTAAGTAACTCATTTATTTTATATTTTTATTTTTAATGTGACGTGCATGATTATTTTTTAAAACTTTTTTTTTTTATTTTTATATTAAGATGAATTAAGATATTATTTTTTTCTAAAACTAAATTTAGCATCATATAATTGTAATTATGTTTAAAAAACTTAATTATATGATTTTATTTTTTATTGTATATTATTTTTTTAAGTGGTGACGTGCGTGAACTTTTATATCACGTGCGTCACCATTTTTTATCTGTAAAGGTGAATTTCCACTCATCCGTTTTTTCACGGGAACAGGAAAAATAATCACGTGGGCATGCGTGTTATAAGTTTTAATTTGTCCGAAGTAAAACTACGCATGCTCACGTGATTATTTTTCCCTTTCCTATCCCCTTCCCGTAGGAAAAAGGATGAGTGGAAACTCACCTTAACGTGCGTGATTGCTAAATCGTAAGGAAAAATGTTAGTATAGACCTAAATTAAATATTAATTATTTAAATAGTGGTTACATATATTTGTTTCCATTTGTGCTGATTTTATGTTATATTACAAATTGAAATGTATTTTTTTCTGAAAGTGAAACAATTTGATGTGTATAGCAGATAATGTTTAAAAATTGTTTTTTTTTAATTTAGACTACCGCAATCAAATTTTAAAATTGTTTTGTTTCTTTACAGTAATAAAAACAAAATCTCAACTCCAAAAGGAATATAGAGGACGAAATGAAGAATATAGGAGCAAAGAAAGAGAGCGAGCAAAAAGAGACAGAGCAAATTACAATGAGGAGGAGCAGAATAAGAAGCGTGAACAAGGTAAATTAAGGATGCGAGCATATAGACAAAGACAAAAAGCATTGAAAGAGTCAATAGAAGCACACGAAGAAACTCCATACAAGACAAAGAGTGATGAGAAACGTGCCATCAATAGAGTTTTATTTCAAGTCATTTCAACAATGCCTCATTCTCCAAGGAAACGTGCATTTGTCAAGCATAACGTTTGTCAACACTTATTAGGAAAGTCTCCCAGCAATCTTAATGTGTCACACCGTTCAACTGCTTTGTCTCCTAAAGTGGTACAGCTTGTGATAAATTTTTTTCAAGAGGATGATATCTCAAGAATGGCACTAGGACAAAGAGACTACTTTGTTAAAGATGGTGACAAATTAATTTAAAAGGTATGTATTCATTTCATTACAAAATAATATATCGATATAACGAAGTAACGTGTAGGAACTGTATAGGGGTAGATAAAATTGAGGATAAGATAAGTTAATTGGCTACATGATTATGAGATAATTAACTTAGGAACACATTGTTTTACATGTTATATATTTTCATATATATGCATGTTTTTCAGAGTTATCTTCAGCTAACATTAAGAAAGGCTCACAAGCAGTTTCAACAGTCGTACAAAAATGTAAAAATTGGAAAATCAAAATTTGCTAGTTTACGTCCGAAACATGTTTTACTCTGTGCTGAGACACCTCCCAATATCTGTGTCTGTTCTATTCACTACAAATTTATACATGTAGTGAATGTGTTAGCACCATACTTTGAATCCATTCCTCTTTACGATAATGAGTGGACGGAAGTTAATGCTGTTTGTATCAACCCATCAGAAAAGTGCTTCTTCAATGAATGCACATTCTGCCAAAATGCTGCATCTTTTCAGCACCTTGCAGTCGAAAATGAAAAAATAATGGTCAGCGTTAGTCAGTGGCAGAAAACGACAAATGAGCTTCTTGGCAGAGAACAATTTGTTAAGGTGACCGTGACTCAGTCGTTAATTAGCCTTCTTGAGGTGAGTAAAGCTATATTATATATGCATCAAATGTTAATATTTTAACAAATTACATGACCTCAATAAATGAAATATTAAAAAGATTTTGCTAAGAATGCATTTAATATTTCATTTATGCCACTATATATTAGAAAAGAATCCAATGTAACATAGTATTTAAGTTGCAATTGTGTTGTCTTATTTCTGCAGGAGTTCAGGCGTCAGTTGCCCAATTTTATTCGTCATCATTACATAAAGCGGAAACAAGCTGGTCTGTACAATCATCTCAGATTAAATTCATCTTAAAGAAATATATTGCTACAAATTGACTTTGCTAAAAATTATACTTGTCAACAGCAAGATGAAATTCAGCCAGCTCACTGGATGCAAAGCCAGATATCTCTGTTTACAGCTTGTCTTTGGGATGGCACATCTCAATCTCCTCATTCCTTTGTTGTGATTTCTGATAACATCACTCATGACAAAAACACAGTGACAGCTTTGATTGTACAGGTGTTAAAAACTTACTATCAAACCAACTCCGCTTGCAATCATCTTGACGTCTTCAGCGATGGACCAGCTTCACAAATGAAAAACAAATATATGTTTGCATTGCTCAACAATATTAGGGCAGCTTTTCACCTTGAAAAACTTAGGTGGTCATTTTTTGCTACCTCGCATGGAAAAGGGGCTGTTGATGGCATTGGTGGAAAAGCCAAACACTTGGTGTGGCGTGCATTAATGACACAAAATGCTCATTCTGTTCTTAATGCAAAGGATTTTGTGACAGTTCTCAGAGCAACAGAGACAAATATACATGTTATTCTCTCAAGCCCAGTTGAGGAAGAAAGTGCACTTGAATTGCTTGATGGTAATCGTGTGTTTTTCTTAGCCAAAAAAGTGCATTTAATTTCTAATGATCATCATTGGGACTGTGATGATAAAGGTGTCAGACGTTTTCGTGTTCATCCACCTCAACTCCAGTATGAGTGTGACTTGCTTTACTTGGATTCTAAGGTATGTACTCAAATGTTCCAATCATATATGTTAGTTGTAGTTATAAAAAGTTGTCCAAAACATCTATGAAGTTGAATTTATTTACAATACAAAATATTATAGCAATTTATTTATTCATTTAAAATATTTTAATGCATTTAATCATATTATATATTTTTCAAATCAGGTCAACTCTTCAACTAATGCACAAAGCTTCATTAAAAGTACAACAACCAGAGCCGGAAATTCATTTACCTTAAAACCATCTGCAGACCTCTTTCAAGATGATATAGATGATGAAATTCCACAGCTGCCTCAGTTCTCTCAAAGAGGTATTGAAAATGGTGATTATGTGGTAGTTCGAGTGCTTGTTAAGTCCCGAGGCAAGGCTCTGGACAAATATGTTCATTATGTGGGCAGTGTGGTCTCTGGTGTGCATAAAACACCTGATAACTGGCACATCCAGTGTATGAGGCGTCATGGAACTTCAATACAGCAATTTGTGTATCCTTCTGTTGATGACATATCTATTTTCTCCATTAGCGACATTGTTAAGACACTTGTAATTCCAAAAGTAACACGTGGTACAATCTATAACTTTTCTGATGATTTATCATCAATTCCTGATTTGCGCTGATTTTTGTTTTATTTTTTGTGTTGTTTATTTGCTTGTTAAGGCGAGTTTCCACTCATCCGTTTTTTCACGGGAACGGGAAAGGGACGGGAAAAATAATCATGTGGGATAATATGTCTAAAGGAAAACTGCGCATGCTCACGTGATTATTTTTTTCTTCCCTATCCCGTTCCCGTGAAAAAACGGATGAGTGGAAACTCACCTTAAAGTAAGCATAAGCTTTTTCCTAAACGTTTCATATATGTATACTAGTTTGTTAAATTTAATGGAATCATCAATAAAATTTTGCTAATAATTTTGTGGGATAATTATAACAAAAGACTTGCAAACAATTAATTATAACTGTAACAATAAATTATATTGCATTTTTATCTGAAATATGAGGTGCGTGAAGTACACAATTTTGGAAAACGTATTACCACTTTCATGTACTACACATTCTGGTGTCTTTTTTAACATTTTCCGTTTTGTTATATAGGGGAGAGTATGCACCCATGATCCTAAAAATCTGACAGGCCAACTTACTGAATCTATGTTTTTATTTCAATCTCTAAAATAACAGTACATAATAGCAAATTTTATACCTTATTATAATTCAATTATCATTTTTTTTACCAGAATATTTTAAGTAGATTTAAAATTATAAAAACTAAGAATGCTCAATTAGGATCATGGGTGCATACCAGTATGCTCCCTAGATCCTACCTATATGCACCCTTGATCCTATGTATGTATACTTGATTCGAGATCAAATGTATACCATGATTGTATAAGAATAATTTTTAAGTCATCAAAACAATGTCTATAATAAAAACCAATAAAGTTATTATTAATTTTACTACAAATTTATCTTTCTTAAAAAATTAAAAATTAATGAAAAAAATGTTATTTTTTACTGAGACTCAACGTTTTTATTTTCATTACTTTCAAGATCAATTTTTCTTTTTCTTGTCATGAAGATCTTATTTTGCATTTCATTTTTTTTCTTTTTTGACTGAGATTTTTTTTCTATTTTCTGAAGCTTATTTAACTCATTTCGAACAGGAGTGTCTGTGAGTATTCGAGTACGCTGACGTTTACGTCCTTTAATGGATTTCCTTGATCCAGCTTTTGGAAATGGCCTAATTTTTTCTAGACTTGCTTGATGAGAGACATTATTAGAAACACTGGATAGTTGACTTCCAGGGTCAGATATAGGCTGAATAGGCAATACACTACAAGCTGAACCAGATGACAGACTTGACATCAATGATTGATTAAAAGCTGGGGCATGAACTGGATAAACAACACCTGGAAAAGGGTTAGCAGTAATAGATTCTGGACGGTCTGTTACATATGAAGACAAAAACTCATTATCAGAAAATATGTTAGGATTAAAGGGTTTAATTCCTGTCACAGCAAATCCTGCAGAAATGTTAGACAAAGTAAAAGCTTGTGCATAGGCTTTCCTTACAACTGAAGCTATATCATATATGGTCATCGGTCTTGGATTAGATACAATCCAATCATCACAGGCTGCATTGTAATAACATTTCAGTGGCCCATAAACTGACCGATCTAATGGCTGCAACTTGTGACTACAATGGAAAGGACAGCATAGTTATGCCATTTTTTTTTAGCTAAATCTAAACACACAATTGAAACATGGCTCTCGTGGTTGTCAAGAAGTAAAAGCACTGGATTAGCTGGTGAACATTTCACATTTTGAATAAAATGTTTCATCCACTCTAAAAACGTTGCAACATTCATCCAACCAAATGGGTTTGCAACCCCAACACATCCATGTGGACCACCATTTATCATACTTCCTTTGAAATTAACTCTTGGAAAAATAAAAAATGGAGGGATTGAGTTTCCTATTGCATTGACTGCACAACAAACTGTTATCAATGTCCCTCTTTCTGCTGAAGTTATCCTTCCAACTTGTTAATCTCCTTTTTTAGCAATTACTTTAACTGGTTTGTGAACAGTTGTGAGACCTGTCTCATCAACATTATATTTGGTTTGTGGCTGAAACTTGTGTCGTAGACGAACATCTTTTAGATTGGTGAAAAATTCTCCGACTGTATAACAATTAAAAGCAGTTGCTCGTGCCATACTAGTAGCTTCTGGATTTCTTAAAGATAACTCATTCCTACGTAACATAAAACCACAAAGCCACTGTTTCCCAGCAATTTGTAAACTTTTCCACGATTTAGGAATGCGCTTAGAAAGAGCCATTGCAAATTCATAGGCAAGTTTTCGTGTTGTTTTGGTTGATAATCCATAGTGAAGTTTTGAGGCCCTTAAAAGATAATCTGATAAAGATGTTTCTTCTTCGTTGGTAAAGATTTGCATGGTAATAAAGTTAGGTTTGCAAACTGTATATGGATTTAACTGACATTTCCTTACATATCTCTTAAGTGTCATTAAATTGATTCCCCTCTCTTTAGATACACGATAAACTGTACTACCATTAAGAACTGCATTAACAGCTGCTCGCATTTCATTCTCATTAACTTTACCTCTAGGTAGTCTATTGGTTTTTCGTTTTTTATGATACACCATATTTAACTGTAAAAAAATGAAACATATTTATACTGTTTTGATATAAGGTGATAAACGGATCAAGGGTGCAAGTTCTCTCCTATATGTATAAATATATATAATATATTGAATATAGTATAAATATTACAATAATATTTTTGTGAAGGGACAATGTAAATAGTACAAGACTAATTCGAACCAGAGACCTTAAAAAAAAAACAAAAACATATATATATATATATATATATATATATATATATATATATATATATATATATATATATATATATATATATATATATATATATATATATATATATATATATATATATATTAAAATTCTTTATTTAGTTGATGAAATTATAATATATAATTTTTTTTTTTTTGTATATATTATAATAAATAAAAAAGTGTTTGTCAAAGTTAGATATATCTAACCTTATAAAAAAACTTTCATTTTTTACGTAAAAAATGTTTTTTATATAAAGTTTTATATAAAGTTAGATATATCTAACTTTATTAGTAAGTATAACTCCAACAGTATTTTTTTACTAAATAAGCATCTTTTGCAAATCTTTTGCATAAAAGTTATGCTGATATGATATCAGCATAACATTTATACAAACTAAAGTATAATAACCAAACATTTAATCAAATATTTATACAAACCAAAATATGATAACATTTAGTTGTAATAACAAAATGTATCTTGTAAACGTTTAGTTTTGCTTTTATAGTACCATCATGGATAGCGAAAAAAATATTTTAATTGGAAATTATTGCAAAACAACATTCGGCTAAAACTCTGTATCCACCGCAATCGGGCTGCAAATGCCGTCGTAGTGGCTTACGACTATTCGCCAGAGTACTGGCATTTCGTCGCACGACGCTGCGACTTCTTGCGATGGTTACATAAAAAGTTGCTTGAATCGCTTGCCAGACTCGCGCCAGTAATGGCTTGTTACTAATATAGTCGCAACGGCTTGCGATGATTTGCCAGAGTACTGGCCCGAAGTCGTATGCTGTCTGGGATATACCAATAAGAGACTCAGAAAGGGTAGACTATATGAAAGCCATAATTGGCATAAATGTTAGTTCTTCTCACAAGTTTTTTGCGAAAAAAATTTTATTATTTAAAAAACTATGGAGGGAAACTTTCGCTTTTTTTACCGTGGAGTCACGTGATATAATATTCAAAACTTGATTGGTTTTTGCTTATCGCGATAAAATGAATCCGAATTTTTTTCGCTGCATTTGCGAAAAAAAATCAGCATGATTGCCAGAAATGTTTTATCTTCGCACGCTTCGCGCAAATATTTCGTCTTGCCTTTAGTTACATAAAGTTGTACTATGTTGAATTACTGTTGTACGAGATCCTCTCAAAGTTATTGTAGAGTATAAGCAAATTTACTTATTTTATATAGATTACTTTTAATTTACTTTACAAATTATATAAAATATAAGCTCATGTAATTTAAATTTTATTTAATACAATTTGTTTTTAATAAAAGTAGTTTAATACTTTTAAAATAAAAAATGCCTACTTAAAAAATATTGATTTATCTGTAAATTTAATTTACATATGGGAGCATACTATTTTTTTACAACTATGGTAATATAACTTTTTTTTAAATTACAGTAAAATCCCGTTAACTCGGACTCAGAACGGGTATATATTTTTTCCGACTCAGAAAATGTCCGAGTTAAACGAAGCTTTTGATAAGTATAGAGAATTCAAGGGGAATTGAAATTTGACTTAGTAAAAGTCCGACTTATCCAGGGTACGAGTTAACGGGATTCTACTGTAGTTATTTTTATATGTAAATGTGAATAACTATTTGAGGAACCATTTATTATGTAATGTAATTTTAAAAAGTAATTAACTTTTACATTTAAAAGCAAACAGCTTTGTGTTTGTTTTTTTTTTTGTTTGTTTTTTTTCATGTAAAAGTAAATTATATTTTAATGTAATCTTCTTTTACATAACTTACTTTTAAAAGTAACAAAAACTTACATTATAAAGTAAGTTGTTTAAAAAAAAAATTAATTACTTATATGGAAATGTTACTTTTTCATCAACTTTCTCGCGTAAGTAGAAAAAAAAGTTTAAGCCATCCCTAATCCATGAAAATTATATTTCATGGTTAGAAGGGCTAATCAATACTTTACAATACAATTACAATACAATACTTAACAATACAAACAATATCTTTAATACTTTATCATTATCGTTATCAAAAATTAAGTCTTAAATAGAATATCATTGTTTAAACGGCAAGCAAAGCTGCATATTGATGGTTTGATTGCAATAAATTAAAAATTACTAACATTAGAAATAGTGATTACAAAGCTAATTACAACAAAGTTATAACTAAATTTCCTTAAATTAATTTTTTACATAGGAATAGGTAAACGCCAAATGGCGCTGTTTAGAGAATCTGCGAAATGATTTTTTTTTAAGTTTTATTGTTATTATTATTATTGCTATTATTATTATTATTATTATTATTATTATTGCTATTATTGCTATTATTATTATTATTATTATTATTGCTATTATTATTATTATTGTTATTATTATTATAGTTGTAGCCGTAGAATACATACCATATATACATTCAGCGAGCAGGTAAAACACCCTACTATAAACAACCAGTTTTATAAATATTCGTTCCAAATTTTATCCTCAACCAGTAATCTTATCTAATTTTCAAAGAAAGTACAGTTGAGTATAACGTTACTTGCTTGGGTAGTTGATTCCAGTATTTTGCTGATCCATTATATAATTGGTTGTGTCTTGAAAGACAGTTTGGAACATATATACGTCTTATTTTAAGATGGTGACCACGTGACAATGAGTTTGTAAATTTGATTGGTATATATTATTAATTATATCAAATTGATGTATTAGTTTTAAAATTTGTATTAGATCGCATCATGGGCGCCGAAACTCGAGTGATGGTAGATTTAATCTTTTAAGTCTTTCATAGTATTGAAAATTTTTTCAAGTTTAAAACTCATTTTGTTGCTTTACGTTGGACAGATGGAACCAAAGCTACGTCAGTTTTTAAATACGGGGCCCAAACAGACACTGCATATTCAAAGTGTGGTCTTATAAATACTTTATATAATTTGAGAGCCATTTTTTCATCAACGACGGTGAATGTCCTTTTTAGCATACCAAGAATTTGTAAAGATTTGGAGAAAACTGTTTGAATATGTGTACTCCATTTGAGGTTAGATGTAAAAATGACTACTAAATTGCGCTCCTTATACCCAAGAATGCTGAATCTTCTTTGATTTCTTTTTTTTTATGTTTATGTTTGGAAAAATTAATATATCAACCAAAATTTAAATTTAAAATTTAATTTTGTATATATTTTTTCTTTTTGCTTCTTCGCGATAATAATTGTATCTTTATATAGTATACAAGAAAAAGAAAAAATAAATAAAAAAATAAAAATGTTATATTTCAAAGGTCAATAAGTTTTTATAAGTTTTTTTTATTTAATTTTTTATTTAAGGTACAACTTTATTTGCTTAGTTGTTATAAATGCTATGTAATCAATGTGTTAGGTTTCCAGATTTAAAAAAAAAATTTAGAATTTTTTTTTTTTTTTTTCAATTTTTTTGAATTTTTTGTGCTAAAATTTGAAAATTTTCATAATCAATAAAAATTATCAAAAAAAAAGAAAAAAAAAAAAGAACTGGGGAGGATGTACCAAATAGTTCTGACTATATGTTCAAAATTCTTTTACAAAGTAGAAAAGTAAAAAACTTGTTATTTTTCTTTAGTACTTTTTATAAACTATTTTTCATTCAATATCTTAACAATAGCTTCGGCTGTGCCAGTTGCTGATGCAGGATTTTGTCCGGTCACAATGCGCCCAGATACCTGAACATTATTAGTAAAAACGGGAGCAGCGTGAAAGTTAGCTCCGTGGTCTTCTAGTTTGGTTTGAAGAGCAAAAGGCATTGCCTCCATTAAATTAACAGCGTATTCTTCTTCGTTTGTAAATGAAGTAATATTGTGACCATTAACCAAGTAACTGCCATCGGAGAGCTTAACGTTTAAAAGACCTAAAACATAACAAAAAATCTAATATTTAAATTATATGTATATATATATATATATATATAAATATATAAATATATATATATATATATATATATATATATATATATATATATATATATATATATATATATATATATATATATATATATATATATATATATATATGTATGTATGTATGTATGTATGTATGTATGTATATATATATATATATATATATATATATATATATATATATATATATATATATATACATATACATAAATAAATATATATACATATAAAGAGCGAGAAAGAGAGAGAGAGAGAGAGAGAGAGAGAGAGAGAGAGAGAGAGAGAGAGAGAGAGAGAGAGAGAGAGAGAGAAATAAGTGCTGCTGTAAAATTTTCAAAAGAAGTGTTGAATTTTATAATCACAGTAGAAGTTAAACTTCAAATAAAATTTCAAATAAAGCTTGCAGTAATTAGTTATTTTAATCATAATATATTTAATTTAAATTTATTTTTGTCTTGAACTTATTTTTTCACCTTACTTTAATAAAATTGTTTAAATTTATTCAACCAGGACTGATAAAGTTTTATTATAATGCTCCCATATGACGATTACTTTTTATGGTATTAGGTTACTTTATTTACATTTTAAACAAAGTTCTAAATAGAATGTAGGCAACCACTATTTAAGATGGGGCTAACTAAATAAAACGTATTAAATGTATACAAATCAGGAAAACATTTAGGCAGGAGAGAATTATAAAGCACTGTTAAAAAAAAACTTTAAAAAACATTTGATTTGCAATTTTGTATTCAGCAATGAGCTTCATAACATAAAAACAGGAAAACCTTTGGGAGGTTTGAAAAAAAAAGATTTTAAAGAAGAAAAAACAATTTTAGTGTTTTAAAGGATATGAAAAAAGTAGTATTCAATTGGTAAATTTAAATTCATGCAACTGTAAATATTATAACCTAAGTAAAATTACGAGCAACAATGAAAATTAAAACAGCATGTTACAATATAAGCAATAAGCTTTAACTTTTTAGCTTTTTTAAGACAAAGTGAGCTTTAAAGTTAAGCTTAAGCATACTCTAGCGTAAAAGTATGCTTACGTTAGGTTTAAAGTAAATTTAAAACTCACGGAACAAAAACACAAAATATAATATATTTATAAAACTATTTAGTTATTCAATTTTTCTCCACTTATTTTATTTACTATTATTATTTTTTGTTATGGTTATTAAGAGGCTTCTAAAAGTCTTTACAGTCTGATCGCAGAGCAACGCGGAAAAGTATTTAAATTGGAAGTTCTTGCCTCCTTCTTTACCAATATTACTTATTGGGCAAGAGCCGGAACTCTAACACTGCGCCATGGCTGCACAATTTTCTGATAATATGAATACGCTAATTTAATATTATTATTATTAGTCGAGTTACGTCATTTTCTAGGCTTTTCTATATGCGGTTTTTTTTTAATTTTATTTACTAACAACGCGTATTACGGGTTGCTTACTGCTAGTTAATATTATTCATTGTAGATTTGCATTTTAAAACTGATCAAGTTCATAATCTTAATCTTATGCTTCTCCAATGGCAACACAACTTGAATAACAACAATAAGTAATGCTAATGCAAAATCTACTTTGAAGGTAAAGTCCATTCCAAGACATTGTTAAAGCTATCTCCGATTCACTATTATGGAAAATAATTATTATGGAAAAACTATCTTAACCACAGCAATTACAAAAAAATGAAATTTAATAATAAAAATTAATCTTAAAAGACAAATTCATCTCACCAACTGTTCCATGGCAGACAGCAGATACTATTCCTCCTGACTCATAGATCTTTGCAACTAATGAGTTAGATGCTTCACAATCTGGTATATCAAACATAGGACCATGACCACCAACATAAAAGATCACATTGTACAATGCAGAATTGACATCATTTAGTGAAACAGTTGAATTAAGTTGTTCAGAAATACTTTGATCTTCTAAAAATTCTTTGCATATAGGATCTTCTTTGAATGCTTCATAACCACTAGGATCCTACAAATAAAAATACAATACTTTTATTCATAACCGCTACGATCCTACAAATAAAAATATAGCTCAGATATTATATATAAACATAGATTCTAGATATTTCATATTTTGAAAGACGGTTGATATTTTTTACAAAATAGACCAAAACTTATTAAAATAATTTTAATAAAAAACTTATAGCCTTTTTTTGCACATAGCTACAATAATGAATATTTTTAAACAAATTATAGTAAGTATTGCATTGCTTTTTGCAGATTATTTTTATGGAATAAAACAGTTTTGAAAAGTTTTTCATTAGTAAAATGTAACTACAACTCATTTAAACGAAAGTTTAAAGAATTAATTTTTACAATTGATGATTTGTTAATATACTTTTAACATCTTTTTTTTGTTAATTCCCTATTTTATCTTCTATTAATCAAAGAATTTTCCAAAATTTATATATATACAAAGAGTTTTGTGTGATATTTTTTAGATATGTAGTATATATAACAGATTTATATAGTTACAACCGACTTGTTTTGCAAATAGTAAAGAAAAAATTTGTAATTATCTTGTTTATCTTTTACCAATTTTACTAGACGATATTTCGTCTGACTTTTTTTCCCGTGTAATTCGGGAAGTTCCTAAAGCTCACGCGAAAAAAAGTCAGACAAAATATCGTCTACAATATTATGAGAAATTATTACGTTTATGTTTCGCGTTTCACGACGACAAGATCTTACGATCTTTTGCGAGTCCTCGCGTTCATTTATTGTTTATCAACGATCTATTTTTTTAATTTTATTATTATTACTTACTTTTTCAGTCTTTTCTGGCAAACTTTATATTTCATAACGAAATGTTGTTAAAAATGTAATTAAGAACAAAAAAAAAAAAAAAAAAAAAAGAAAATTTTGTTATTTATATTATAAATAACCTCAAAGTTTTTTAAATATTTACTTATGTTCATTTTTCTTTCTTTTATTTAACATAAATAATTTTTATTTATTCAAAATTAAAAAAAAATTTCATTGGTTAAAAATTAATATTAAGTTAATTAAAAATACAGTAGAATCCCGTTAACTCGGACCCTGGATAAATCGGACTTTTACTATATCGGACAAATTTTCAATTCCTCTTGAATTCTCTATACATACCGAAAGCTTCGCTTAACTCGGACATTCGCTAAGTCAGAAAAAATATATATGCCCGTTCAGAGTCCGAGTTAACGGGATTCTTATGTAGTTAATTTATTCTACTTTTCTTAAGAAAGCGCCAGGTGCGATTTCAGGGAAGATGTGGGGGTGTCAATTACTATACTCCGCCCTAACCACAAAAAAAAAAAAATCTTATATTCAACTAATAGTTGGTTTTTTTATGAATATAGTCGGCTAGTCGGCCTTTGACACATTTCAAAAAGTCTTTAAATAATTATATGAAATCTGCCGACATTAATAGTCGGCAGATTTCAAGGATTAAAAAAAAAAAATTTGACACTGCAATCGGATTCTTCCCCATTCGTTTTGCTTTTGTTTTGTTTATTTATTTTGATATATTTATTTAGTTTTATTTTTGTTACAATCTTCGCTTTAACTCCAAAACTTAAGCCTTAATGAACAAGGCCACAGCGCAGAGAAAAAAGTTGAGAGCGATAAATACCGAGCACAACACTACCAAAGAAGTGATTGAGATCAATACGTGCAGTTTCCAATTACAAAACAAGCTCTCAGCAACTACAATATCACTACAACAAATGCGGTAGCAGACTAATACTAGAGCACTCGCAATTAAAAGGTTCCAGTTCAAATCTAAGCCTCTGAAAGCGCTCAACCTAATTTACCGCGCAACAGTCTTTTTTAACAAAATTTATTTTTGAGAGTTTCAATGTGGTGAGAGCCACAAAATCTTAGTAACTTCAATGACTGTATAGGTCCCCTCTGGTCCCCTCTATAACTACGTATAGGTCCCCTCTGGAGCCTCTGGATGAACTTAAAAAAAAAAGAAAAAAAAGCACTCTGTAAATTAGGTCAGGATATGCTCATATAAACTACTACATTTATTTTTAAAATTTAAACGCTATATATTTTTAAACTAATTAAAGAAATGTTTTGCATGTTTTAGAAATACAAAAATTACAACACAAAGTAAATTTTATGATGGAATTTAATGCCTTACCATTGGAGTTGATCCACCATTTGGACTGGCAAATGTTATTGAAAGACCAGAATTTTTAAAAACATGGTATGGATGTGCAACTTCTGGCAAGTACCAACCTGTTTTTTTGCCAGAATTTCCAAGTTCGCTCCAATTTGTTAGTACAATTAAAACAGCCATAATCGTTCTTTAATTTAACTTTATAAATAATAACTTTAAAATGAATTAAATTGAAATAATAACTTAACACAATTATAGAATGCCACAAAAGAATTACACAGTTATAGAAAACCACATAAAAATACAAATAAAAACAATAAGTTGAAATTTATTTTCAAACCAAGTTTCAATCAAATTTTTATTTTTTACTTTTATAAGATAATGCAAAGAATGTAATATTAATTGTATGGGGAAATGAGAAATAGCAGGGGTGCTTTATTGAAGTTTTGAGATGCGAAGAGATTGATTGTTTGTATTATATGGTTTATAAAAAAGGGTCAACGGAAAGTTACTATGTCTCAGGTAGCTTTAAAAATTAAGTACACTAAGTGTTAGTAAGAAGAAGAAAAAAAAAGAAACCGGTTTGAATCATATAAGTTATATATAGTGACAGGGCCTTCCCAGAGTTTTTTTAGAGAAGTATTTAAAAAAAAAAGAGTTTGTTTCAGAATAATTTTATTAAAATATACTATAACAACAACAATTTTGACTATGAGAAAGTATTAATAAATCGTGTATGGCTACTAAGAAGTCGTGTATGACTACTAAGAAGTCGTGTATGGCTGAAGTCGTCTTTTTGGGAGTTTTTTTAAGAATTATAATGTTAAAAATGATCTTTGTTTTTCTTTGCCAAAGTCAAAAGTGTTTTTAATAGCTTGTAAGTGTCTTTTTAAAAAATTAAAGTGCATTAGGGTCTGTCCATTAATAATGTGCACAAAAAAGGAGAGAGGGGGAGATCAAAAAAAGTTGAGGTCAACAATTTTTACTTTTTAAAATAAATTTAACTTCTTAAAAAAAGAGAGAAAAAGATGTTTTTTTATCCATTTTGATTTTTTTTGGTTAGTTAGGGAGGGGGGGGGGGGAGGAAGTAATCAAATGTTGGCGTAATTTTATAGCGGGGGTCTCTGGAAGTTTGAAAACTTCTTGACAAGCGGAGGGGAGGTAAATATCGCCAAAAAACTGTTGATATATATAATGGACAGCCCCTTATAATATTATTTTTTTAAATAAAAAAAGTATTCAAAATCTTAAAAAAAAAAAAAATAGTTTAAATAAAATTGCAATAAATAAATAAATAAATTTAAAAAGAATAATAAAATAAAAAGATAAAAATAAAAATAATCAAGTACGGTAAAAAAAAATATATATTTATTACCGTGCATAAACTATTTTAAAATACTAAAAAACTCAAATTATGCATAAATTATGCCTAATGTTTTGCATAAATAAGCACTTGAAATAAATTTTGAAATAAATTTTGTTTGAGATGCCCAGCCACCGCCGTTTGACTCTAAAATGTAAAAACTAATTAGAAAAATAACTCAAGATGCAAGCAGAGTTGAAAATAAAACTAGATCGACTGCTCTGCGCTCAAGCACTTTAAAAAGTAAACCGACCAACCCATCTACAAATTTTTAAACAAATCGCCTGCTCCATTGATCTATTAAATGTTCTATTTATTTTCTATTTAAACAAGTCGCTTGTTCCATTGATCTTATAATGTTTTATTGAACTAGTTTTTTGATTTTTGGTGAGATTTAATAAAGCTTCTAGACTTGAATAAACGCACTAATCTCAAAAATAATAAGTTATTATTTAAATGAATATTTTGAGACTAATGCGTTTATTCAACTCAAACTGCTTTATTAATCTTAGTAAAGCAAATCAACCTTGAAAGATGATTGAATTTAATTTTAAATAGATTTAAAAGTTTTATGCTCTTTCGCTTTAATATTTATTTTGTAGTGTCTGAAAAAAAAACTTATATTAAAAGAAAAAGAAAAAAAAAACTTTATAATAATATAAAACAGTAAAAATAGAAATAAAAGAGTAATTAGTTATATTACAAATATGAACCGCTGAAGCGAAACGGATTAACTCCCTAAAAAATAAATTCCGGTTTTAATACATTTCAACACCACAGTTAATCTAATTCAATACAAAATAACCCCAGAAGTTAAAATATTTTAAAACATGACAAATTGGATTAACCGGGGGAATAATTTTTTGAAACCCAACTACAATAAATTACCCCCTTTAATATGTATGTTATATAACTTAGCTTTATTAAATTAAAAAAGAGTTATTTGTCTTGTTATATGAGGAGTATTTATGCATACATACATATACATACATACATACATACATACATACATACACACACACACACACACACACACACACACACACACACACACACACATATATATATATATTTATATATATATATATATATATATATATATATATATATATATATATATATATATATATATATATATATATATATATATATATATATACATACATATATATATATATATATATATATATATATATATATATATATATATATATATATATATATATATATATATATATATATATATATATATATATATATATATATATATATATATATAAATTTAATAAAGCTAAGTTATACAACATACATATTAAAGAGGGTAGTTGCGTTTATAAAAATTATTCCCCCGGTTAATCCAATTTTTCATTTTTTAAAATATTTTAACTTCTGGGGTTATTTTGTATTGAAATAGATTAACCGTGGAGTTGAAATGTATTAAAACCGGAATTTATTATATATATATATATATATATATATATATATATATATATATATATATATATATATATATATATATATATATATATATATATATATATATATATATAAAACACAGACTTATTATTTAAAACTGTCAATTTTTGCCAGAAGTTTGGTGTTCATGCTCTTTGAACCTTGGACCATCGATCTAACTTTGTAAACGGATTTTTAATGAGAATAAAATATCTAGAGTTGAATAAAAGCAATGATTTCAAATAGAATATGTTATTATTTAAATAAATGTCTTGAGATCGACTCGATTATTCAACCCTAGCAGCTTTGTTAATCTGGCTAAAGTAAATCTAAAGTGATCTAAAATGGCTTTGTTAACATTTGAAAATGCTGTATTTCAAAAATGCTGTATTATTATTAAAAATTGTTGTTATTAATTTTGCTTTGGTATTTATTTTGATACGTTTGAAAGAAAAATTTATCACACAAAAAAGGAAAGTTCATCTATAAAACGAAATAAATATTAATATTATAAAAAAAACCTTAATTTCATTTGATTAAATTATAAGTATTAAAAACTTCTTTGCTGGTGTAGCGATACGGATTACCTAGAAAATCAAAATTTGCTATTAAAATATTTTATCTCTATGATAAATCAACACAATTCTAATTTAATGCAAATTAATTAATTAAAAAACATTTTAAAACACGGAGAAATGGATTAACCGGGGGCATAAATATTTCAAATCCCTACCCTTTAAGTAAATATATCACCCACTTTAATATATGTGTTATATTATTTAACTATAATACTTGAATAATTATTAAAAAAAACACAAACACAAACACTCAACTCAGGACAATCTTTCGTTTGACATATTAAGTAAATTTTCTGAAATTTGTTATATGATAATGCCTTCTTTTGGAAGATTTTATTTTTTATTTTTAACCCATTTTTCATTTAATAATTACGTAAGATAATTACGTAAATATCGTAACTACGATGCCTTTTAAGCATTTATAAAAATCCAGAAACTGATAATATGATGAGGAAGACTGTATTAAATTGTGTTAAACAGTTTAAGTCTTTTTTTTTGTTTAATAGTTATTTGGCATAAAATATTAAACTATTTTAATCTAATAAGCAAAATGATACAAACAAAAAGATAATGATGATACAAACAAAAAGATAATGATGATGCAAACAAAAATATAATGATGATGCAAACAAAAAGATAATGATGATACAAACAAAAAGGTAATGATGATACAAACAAAAAGATAATGATGATGCAAACAAAAAGATAATGATGATACAAACAAAAAGATAATGATGATACAAACAAAAAGATAATGATGGTGCAAACAAAAAGATAATGATGATACAAACAAAGAGAAACCTCTCAACCAAAGTTTTTTTTTAATAGTTATTAATAACTACTAAAAAAAAATTTTAACAAACTAATAAATAAATAAATCATTAACTAGTAAACAAATAAATCAAAATTATTAAACTTCTTTAGATATCTCCCAGTAATTGACGATTTTTATCATACAAAGCCTTTACTCAGGGTTGTTTACTCAGGGTTGTTTACTCAGGGTTGTTTACTCAGGGTTGTTTACTCAGGGTTGTTTATTCAAGGTTGCTTACTCAGGGTTGTTTACTCAGGGTTGTTTACTCAGAGTTGATTTTGTACTTGACTTTAATAAAGTCAACAATAAAATATCTTTTGAAAATTTTTATTAAATAAGATTGACTGCTCATTAGTCGTAGAAGCTGTATATACGCATCAAAAAACATTTTTGAAAATAGTTTAGCAAAATTTAGCTATACTTCTTCGAAAGAAAATAAGGAAGTATTATGGGTTTGGAAAAAGATACAATGATGGAATAACTGATTTATTACGTTTTTAATCAGGATTTCGCAGTTTATAAAACAATTAAAAGTATCATTTAACCCAAGCCTCAGCGTGGCACTCATTGCAATCGGCTTCGTAAATGCCGTCGGTTAAAAAATACCTCATGGTAATATACTTAAATATCCAAACCATTGTGAAATCGAGATTTAGGTAATTTAGAAATATTTCGGAAAATGTGTCTCATTGTTAAAAAATTTAAAAATATAAAAATGCAGTTGAAACCAGTCAGGGTTCCAACTGTACCTGTAACAACTGAGACAGAGCGAGCAAAAATGAACTGTAAGCTTTACATAAGGACCATAAGGTATTTTAAAAAGCTTGTTTAAAATTAAAAAAGGCCTCTTTACTTGTAGCTTTTGAAAAAGAGAAAGATCTGTTAAAAGTCAAAAACGATTGATGAATTGGATGTTTATTTTATTAATAATCAAAAAGTAGTAGATCATAGCAGCAAATATTCACATTATTTAAAATCACAATTGTTGATA